GGCTAACGCGCATGGCAGGCCGCGATGGGCAGGCATGCCAACCCTGACATAAGGCGAGCCTTTGAAGAATTCCAAGACCAAGACACGCCCTCGAAATGTAATAAAGTACGCTGTCTACACTGCGGCTTCGTGCGCGCAAAGAACACGACGCGCCAGATTGAGCATCTCCAAGACTGCCAGCGATACCTCGCATCTCCCGAGGCACAGTCCCATCTGATCGCCCAGGAGCAGCAGCAACAACAACAGCAGCATCAGCCTCCGCCGCAAAATGGATTGCCTGTTGATCCCAGTATGCCCCCGGCTGGCCCCAGCCAGATATTGAATGGCCAACAGCCCAACCCAAACCTCCAAGTGAACCGGCGCGGACCGAACAATAAACGCGCCCGCGATGGACAGCCTATTGCGCCAAACATTGCCATGGCACCCAATGTTGCGCCCTCGCTGACGTCGCATCTCTTGACCATCTGCTCGGGGCCATTTGCGCAGGCAACACAGCGACCCTTCCTATCGCACGCCGGCTGTGGATCACTAGGCGCAGGGCCGTTGTCGCAATGGCTCGTACAAGATGGGCACTATGCGCGAGGATATATACGCTTCATAGGGCAGCTGCTGGCCAAGATAAGACTGCCGCAGACGCACAATTCGCAGTTCCACCCCATGTACCGCACCATGGACCTTCTCATATCCGCCCTCAATAACATGCGACGAGAGATGCAGTTCTTCGAGATCACCGCGACCAAGTACGGACTCGCTGTGGGCATGGATCCCCCAACACCCATTACGCGCGCCATGCTTGACCTTCTTGTAAGCGCGAGCAGTGCGAGCGCATCACTTCTGGAAGGCATGGTCGTATTATGGGCAAGCGAACATGTACGTATAACTGCGATTAACGAAGATTGCACAAGACTAACATCTGACAGTGCTACCGCTCCGCCTGGCAATACGCCTCCTCCTTCTCTAGCACCCTCAACAACACCTCCAGCGACTCCCATATCGTCGCCCTCCACCAAGCCCTCATACCGAATTGGACCTCCCCCGCCTTCAGCAAATTCGACGAGGCAACGCGCACACTAGTTGACGAACTAGCCAATATCACAACCACACGCGACGGCAAGGAAGAGATGTCGCGCTGCGAGGAAATCTTCAGGCAAATATGCTGGCTCGAAGAGCGCTTCTGGCCCGACGTGGACAGCATGGGCAACAACAACGAGAGTGCAAATGCAAGAATGGGTCCTCCGATGAGCGGACCCATGAGTGCAGGCTTGGAAAACAACATGCAAAATGGGATGGCCAACGGTCTACCTGTTGCGGTCAATGGAAATGGTATACACAGCCATAACCATAACCATAACCACAATCGTAACAACAGCATGCCGGGACCCAGCATGAACAACAATAACAATATACCAACAAACATCCACGGCAATCCTGTAAATGGACGAAACAGTATGAGCGGCCCCGTCCGCAATGCTAGTATCAACGGACCTTCCATGCAGAATGGCCCTATTAATGCGGCCATCAACAAGCACGACAACACGCCTGTGAACGATAACCGGAATCCATTTGGTTTGCCAAGAAATGGTATGGAGAGTGTGGGCCAGGGCTCGTAGTCTGAGTTTGAGGTCCTTCCGAAGAATGCTGTGTGGAAGTGACAAGAGAGACGCTCGTGAGAATTGTCTTGTTGGGTATACCCTCTGGCGACTGTGGCGTTAGCGAGGAGTTTGCGACTCTTAATCTGGATAGTGCTGGGAAGGATGCCAATTGTGTTATTGTTTGATAGGGTCTGGGATTAGATTGGTGGCTTGCAAAAGGATAGTGTATGATATTCCAGCCGTTAGGATATAGCATGGAGTGCTTACGGGGTATCACATACCTTGGTATGGGTCTGATATAAAACGGTCTAGGCGAAAGAAGGTCAGAGTCTCATTATGTGCTTTATTTTGCTGCAGGAAGGAACCTATCATGTTCTGTATCATACGTGACCCACCGAGTAGTATTTTTGGAGGTATCTCTTATGGTCATTTTTATGACACGTGCTAGATGTATGTAGTATGCCCCTCGAGGTTCGGCATCTCATATCGGATACAGTCGTAAGCCAAGCTTCCTGGTTCTATTCAGACCAAGAGATCTACATGATGACTTCATTGTAGGACAATCTTGCTGCTTCAGTAGTTATTACATGTACTTTCCATGCCGAAATACGTTTTTACTGTGTCGGTATCATAACGTACTCGAGCGGAGCTCCAAGGGTGGCATAATGTAGAGCCTCATTCAGCTTCAGGCGATGGACAGAGAGTGGTGTCCAGCCTAGTTTTATTGTGAAGAGTCACAAGGGGGTAGTTGTGTCGAAGCCTTGGTGCCACGAACTACTTTGTGCCAGACAAAGGTCAAAACCTTTTGTCATTGAATGACACTATGAGATGTAACCAATGACCATAGCGCACAGAAGAAGACAGTAGCAGAATATGGACAGGCGAAGCGCATTCAATGTTGTAAAGACGCTGCGGGTTCTGTATAAAGGCTCACGAAGACATTCGTGATAGCGCCAGTAGAAGTATCGACATACATCCTCCGGTCGGCATTCGGAAACGCGTCAAGAGCAACATCAACATCTGTGCTGATCACCTCGGGGTCTTCGAGGCCGTTCGCCATGGGCAAAACTAGACCAGAATCGCAGGATGGAGGGCTCCAGGGGATAGTAACGTATGAAGGGTATGGTGATTGGAGTTCTGAAGTACTGTGATCGAAGGAAAGAGGTGGACATGAATAGCTATGTCGGCCAAGAGTAGCATCGACATCTGTGGAACATTCGTAGCGCTCAGGAGAACTACTGCCAGAGGACAAAGATGGGAGAGGATACACTTCAGTTGGAAGGCCAGCCGTATGACAAAAAGATCGATCAGAAAGGGTATGCGCCGTGGTAATAGTCGACTCCGTACCAATACTGCTGCTGCCTGCGATGTATTGGTCGGCTACATGTCTAAGGCACGACATGAAGGCAGCTTTGATGCTCGGTGGTTCGTTAATGATTCCGTTCGTGATTTCGTTCGTTGACAGAAAGTCCAGTGTTGAGTGTATATGTTGGACGAAATCGTTTGCAACCGTCTTGCGGATGCGTTGAACATATAGTTGGCCGATATCTTCAACATCTACGAATAATATCAGTCAACGATCTTATCAGGGTGCGGGAAAAGTGAGCCACTCACAAGGCGAATGGATTGTTTCGTCGTCAGGGAAGATGACGGAATACATGCGTTGCCAGCCTTCCGTCGCGTTCTCACTTTTCTTTGTACGTTGACGGATCTGTCGAGCAGCCTTGGGATCCATCCAGGCTCCAATCTGCTCGCCATTCACCTTATGACACGTCCTTTCTCCCATATGTATATCGCGCAGAGTGTCGCTGTCGAAATGATCTAAGCAAATCGGACAGTAAGGCCGTCGTTCGTGGCGGCGAAGAAGGTGCTCTCTGAGGACGGTTAGCTGAGCTGTCACGCTCTTGAGGGACGAGGTCTTTACTTCAGTCGAGCAAGATTTTCGGCGGCAAAGTTCCAGCATCCTGGGGAGGTGATGGGATTATGTTTCGCAAACGGGCAAGCGAGTGATGCATTGGGAAGAGGCTCTTTTGACAACCGCCGCCGGTGAGATTGACGTAAATCCGCATCATCTTTGCACTTATCTCGGGCGCTACGCTTTTTTGTAGTCGTTGTGGAAGAATATGCTGGGCCAGGAGCTGAGGTTGGATTCGGAACGAAAAAAGGAGATCTGTTGCGTTGTTCGAACCGAAGATCTGCGTGATTTGGAAGTGCAGCATCAGGGTATAACGTCGGCCGAAGCTGGTCTGCCATGGCTTCGTTAACAGCAGTGAACTTGCTTGTTGTTATTACATAGCCGTAGGAACTCATGGCAGATGATGTGTTCTTCCTAGAAAAAGCAATAGGTATGTTGTAGACTTCTCGTGTTCGCAGTGCGTCTTATGCAGCCACCTGCATGCTGTAGCTGCAGCTCCTGACAACCCGCATAATGGGAGCGCTCAGCCTTCACCGGCCGTTCCGAGAACATCTAGACCCAAGTTGACTTCCCATGCATACTGAAAAGTGGAGCCGAGGCGCATTCGTGTTATAGACATGTCCTACCATTAAGTATTCGGTCGATGAGGGCGTCCACAACTTTGCGTTTTAAATTACAGTGGATACTGCTGTATTTACAGCGACTCGGAAGAACTGGATGACAATGTTAACAAGCCTTATGACGTATATTGGGCCCTAGACTGCGCCCAAATACCAGTATGCAGTGACAGTGTCCGCGTGGCTTCTGAGGCTTTTGACAAGGCTATCAACGATGAGCTCACCATCAGTATCCAAATCTGAATAGACCAGCGTGGGCTTCTTTTGCTTCATTGATGTGGAGATTTCTAGTCGAGAGGTCGAACCAGTGCGCAACGTCGCTCGCTGTCCTACAATGTTAGATGAACATAGAGGTCCCATTGCTGACAGCACGCCAAGATTGTACCGGATATGGCTCAGGTCTTTTGCTTTTGCTTTTGCTACTGCGTTCGAAGCACACCGCCAGTCTTTCTGTGGTCCTGAATCAAGATGTGTGCCGTCTTTTGTGTAACCCTTTGTGCTTGCGTTAGGGATCTGGGCCAGATTCGTTCAATCGTGTGGATCCGACGAAGTTCGATTCGCTCCGGCAAGGTCATCCAGCATAGGCAGAAAAGAAATGCCAGAGTATCATCGCACTAAAACAGAGTGCGTCCGGAATCAATGGGGCGGTCATCGCCACGTTACTTTCTGTTTTGATGTAGAGGCTTAGCCGCGCATTAAGGTCGAAGACAACTCTCCTGGACTACGGTACCTGCGTTGCTAGGCACTTGTTGTAAGATCCTGGTACCTGGCTCGTCTGTTCTCGCTCCCCCCTTTCTTCACGTTCATCTTTGCCTCCCTCTGCCATCACGCCAACCTCTTTATACGATACGACCGCCAGCCATCGAACAAGTCACCATGAGCTTTCGAGAGGCTGTAGCCGCCTTTCTAGCTATTGCGATTACTGGTTTCCTGGACGTTCTTTGGCTGAAAGTCACCGTCGTTTGTTGTCTCAATCACTGGGCTTTCATCAATGCTGCCGGAACCTTGGAGCCAGTCTTTGGGCCTTTGCGAGAGTCTCAAGGAGCATTGGGGCCAACAATATCCAGAGTCTGGAGTGGAAGGACCTGGCACGCCATCCAAGTCGGACTGGGTTTTGTCTCCATGATTCTCGCTGTTGCTCATCTCACCTCGGTAGAAGCGGAACCGTATCTCATCATGTGGGGAGTCTTTGCCCGGCCCGCAGCAAAGCTCGTGGCTAATGGTTCATCGGCAAGGGAGCCAGAAGGATGGTGGCAGGTCGTATCGACGAGGATATCGGATGTTCTCACGATGTTTCCGCCTTTCCAATACATCCCGAACATCTATAAAGCACCCGTAGCACTTCTTGCATTTTCTCTTGCACTGCTATGGGCACTCTGGTTTGGTATTGAGCAGATCATGCCATGGTTTATTGTAAGCCGAAACAACTGATAATATGTTCTGGTCAACTAACAATACCAGACGCAGGTATCATTGGGATCGACTGTCATCGTCAGCGACTTACACATGGTTAAGAGAGGCTCTCCATCAGCTGCTAGCTCGGTGTGGGCACCGGCTTTGCTGAGTGCAGCTGTCACGCTTGCGTGTCATATTCATAAGACATGGCAGGACGGTCAGAAAGAGATTGCTAACAACGTAATGCAAAAGGCCGTGGTGGAGCAATTGACTGGGCTCGTTAAGCAGCAAAAAGCTATGGCTGAGCAGCTGATTGTGTTCAACAACAAGCTTCCAGACTTGATCGCGCATGCTGTAGCCCAGCAACTGAAAGCAACACTCAGCGCACAGCCTACTGCATGTAGTGTGCAGTACCACACCTCGAACGGCCTGTCGGTCCTTCCGGTTCCAACCATCATGACATCCGTTCACACTGCCGATATCTCTTCCGAAGTCATGTCTGTGATGGGGTCCATGAGTGAGTCAATTGAGATAGACAGCGTTGTCTGTCGAAAGAGCGAAGACCAGGTGACATCTACACCACCCCTAACAACCGATTCAAAGATATCGACCAATCGATGCCATGGTGAAGAATGCTACACGCTTGATTGTTCTGGCAAGAGATCCACGGGAGGGTTTTGTAGTGATGAGTTAGAGTCGCTCGCGAAAAGCACCGAGCTGCTCGACCGCTTCCGCCAGGATAAGTCCCGTAATACTGATAGCTTGAACGGGTTCAGCGAAGAGGATGATGATGTTGATAGAGATATCTCCATGGGATCTCCGTCAAACTCTAGCGTCTGGGTTCATGTCGCCAACCCCGATGTGTAGATAGGCTGAGGATTCTACCAACACTTGCGAAGACTTTGATGCTATTCAATTGCATCTCATCAAGTATTGCCTGGTACTCGAGAATCAGATTTATGGTGTGTGGAGTCGTTGGTGTACGATGGCGATAATGTATATGGTTGATAGGGTCCTTGGCCGATGGCTCCGATGTTTTTGGCTTGCGAGGGTGTTATCATCTGGATTCATTCGTGTACAACATGGATGACTGGTGTATGTCCTTATGCGTTCGATGACGGTATAGCCTTGCTTTTGTATTTGTAATATGGATACCTCTTTGTGAGGTCTTCTGTGTTTGTTCATCTCAATAAACTTCTTCTTAGGATCTCCCATCGTGTCTATGCCGGTAGTTAATCATTCATGAGCGAAGGGAGCAGCAGAGCGATCTTGATCATTCTCTGTCATCGAACTTGTTTGGCGATTGTCTGGAATTGGATCCTGGGGCCGGATTGAACGAAGACACTTATTGGGAGTTTTTGCCTGATCGAGCTCTTGTAATGTATGTATATGATGTTTCTCGATCTCCTTTCTGAAAGTACTTGTAGAATTGCGCTGTGGTCGTGGATGTATAGGTGTGTGAGTAGTGAAAACGAAGGGTTGTAAGCTGCTATCGTATCTGACAAAGAGAGTCAGCATTCTTCGAGAAGTTGGACAACAATATGATGCACATTGAATCCGGTTCTGATAGATGTTCTGTTAAAGGTACGATCTCTTTTCGAAACTGCTGTTACCGTAAAGTGAGGGATAGTGGCGTTACTCGATCGTGAAATAACGCAAAAACAAAAGTATGGATCTAGGAACCTACACGGGGATGGTGGGCCGCAGCAGGAGAACGCCACTATCCAATCAGATCTCCGGTTCGCGACAGCATTGTGGAACGGTGCCGCGGATGCTCACTACCCGCCATCTCATATCGCGAAGTGCGATAAAAAGCAAATTATCGCAGCCTGCGATCTTCGATACGATTGGTCAAGGATAAGAATCGCAACTTGCGATAATCCTAGCTTGCTCCTTACTGGGTATAAAAAGAGACGACCTCCTTGGCTATGTGGGCTCCTTCCGGCTGGTACAGATCGAGCTGGCATCTTGTAATTAAGTCCTCGGGAACTATGCCAAATGTAGTGGCGCTATCAAACTGACAGCTCGGGAAGGTTGGCCTTACGTCAATGACTCTTAACATTGGTATCGATTGAATTCACGTGCTGGCTACAAGATGCAGACAAATCGCTATTGAGTTATACCGTGTCATATTCGGGTAGAAGTGTATTTCTCGAACACCTCGTTCTATTGTATGTAGCTGTTTAAGAGGTTCAACATAAGACACTCGCCAACAAATCTTTGCTGTTCTTGAGCGAATATTGAATACCTGTGCGTCGACGGCGTGCTGAACACAACGTGACGTGGCTGTTCACGTTACATTCTATCATGAAGCCATCGCCGAATACTTCCGTTTGTGCCCTAGTAGTCAGCCCCTAGCTGCAGAGTCAATCTGAAATTCCATCATGATTTGTTTTGTACTAGCTACATGTGTATGTGTATGTGTACGTGTACTTTCAAGCCGGGTATCGCTAGAGCTGCTATGCTCAGGCCCAACACTGACTTGGAGTCATGCATCGATTGTATGGGAGATGAGCTGTGCATCGATCATTGGCTGAAACGGGCTGCTGAGTGAGCTAGCTAATTGGGAGGCTACATATGAGTCTTCGCTGCTGAGTTCCACAAGGACCGAAAAGCTGTGATCGATTAAGTCACATCCCGATAATGTAGATCTGATCTATGCGCCTCCCCAACTAGAACCGCCACCAATACCCGTGCTGCCCAAGTTGGAACTGTAGCGCCTAAAGCCCTTGCCCATACCAATTGGTATCGAAGATGTCCTCCTGACAATCTTCCGCCGTCTACTCTGCGAACCACTCCTCGTCGTCTCCAAGGCATTAATCGACTGTCCTCGCCCTACCGACACCGAGGCGTCGTCTTCGTCATCAGATGCCATGGCCACGCTCGACCGCGTTGTCGTAAGGCTCAGTATGTTTGGTGGCTCTCCGAAATCGCCAAACTCTGATTCAGATAACGCAGCATCATCATGCCACGCTGCTGTGGGCACCCTTGCGCCTTCTTCGATCTCTTCTTCCGTCTCGATGATGTTTTCTTCGTCGTCGATATCTGAGTCGTCTCCGAACCCTTTACCCTCAACTAACCAGAACGTCGGTATAGATGCAGCGAATGCAATGGCAGACATAGTCCAGAACGGCACGATGACATAGCCACGCTTGACACCCCAAGTAAACAAGCCGCCTCCCAAAGTGGGTCCAGCTGCTCTACCAAAAGCACTGAAACTTGTCGCCAGGCCATTGATGGTTCCTAGAACACGTAGGCTAGGCGCACTGTTCGTAAGCATGATAGTACTAGTAGGGAAAGCAAATGTACCACCCACTCCTCTAACCATCAATAGCAACACCATAGCGACTTCCCTGGTGATTGGATCTGGGATAAGTGATAAGAATGGTGTTACGAAGAAGACGAATGGGAAGATAAGGAATGCTATTCGGAGGCAGCGAACGACACCGAGATAGCGCGCGATAGGAGGGAAAAGTAAGAATTGACACATGGTACACGATATGGCAAACACAGTAAAAATGATGCCGATGCGTCGAGACTCGATACCGAAGCCTCCTGCAAATTTCAGAGGCAAGGATACGGTTGGATCGTCTGCGAGTTGTACTGGATGGTGCATGAACACTGGAAGTAGCTACGTTTGATCAGCCATAGTATCTTCAGCTGCCAGAAATCTCGTACCTGATCATATGCCTGGGTGTACATAGCGAGCAACGTATACACGGCAAGGTTTAGCGACGTCTGAAATGTCAACACATCCCTGTATCTTGGTGCTTTTTCCTTGACTACCTCATGAGCAACCTCATGCTGTGGTGTCGCTTCACTGTCAAGTATTTTCTGTTGACCGAGTAGCGGCTCGCGTTCTGAATTGCCGTTCTGCTTTTGGGTCGGCAGGTGCAGTATCTTGCGAATGAATGCTATCAATCTAGCCCCAGTTCTCAGGCCCAGGTCTGGTGCGTTCTTCTTGCTTTCCAGAGTTTCTTGGAGAAACAGCCAGCCTATTACGATACCCGTAGTGAAGAACGCAGCCGCTACAAGGTTTGGCAAACAATACGGAAATTTCTCCAGTAAAGCAGTGCCTCTGGGTTTCCGAGGATCAACACCCAACGGGTTGGCTAGGGCTCCGCCGAGGGTAGGTCCAAACGTCGCGCCCACTGTCCAAACCAAGGGCATGACACTGAACGCTCTCGGCTGGAGCTCTTTCCACGGGCACAGTTCTGCGACTGTAGTTCTAAGAATGCCTACATTGCCGTTTGATAGTCCTCCAAGGGCGCGTGCAGCCAAAGCCATGGGCAGGTTGAGCGAGAAGCCCCATAGCAACATGGTCCACATGGTGTTGAATAGTCCAAACAATATGATAGGTTTCCTTCCATAGCGATCGGATGCGGCACCCCAGACGAGGCCTGTGAAGCCTTGACATAACGAGAATGCCGACGACGAGATGCCAGCCCAGCGCGCGATGTCATTTTGAGGAATGCCAAATGATTCCATAAGCTCGGGCACGTAGGGAAAAACGGAAGTGAGGGCGATGGGCTCGGCAAAGCGGCATATTGCTATGGTGAAGTTAGCAAGCTTGCAGAAGAGGACGCGTCGCGCGTACGTACATAGAATCACCAGTTGTTTAACTGGTAGCCGGTGTTCTGTCATGGCGGCGGTGATAGCGAAGGATGCATGCTAGTCAAAACCGCAGAGTGAAGAGAAGAAGAGCAGGAACAGTCACGAACGCTCATGCTTGCTCGCATGCTCAGTCCACAGGAAGGGCGCACCCCGCAATCACAGCTAGCCGCTCGTGGTCATGCGCTATTTGCGGTGAGCACGAGTCAGCTATTTCCGTGTCCGCGATGCGCTGCTATCTATTCCGAATTCCGAACGATGCGACTGCTGGCGCGATGAGGTTGTCGTGTGATGGCGTTGAGGATGATGGTGATGATGGAAGAAAGCCGACGCGACAGTCGTCATCGGCTTTGAAGCTTGGGCGGAGAAGAAGCCGCCAACGAACAGTTCCAGGGTCCACGTTCTTCGCAGGAACCACCAACACCATCACGAAGCGCTTTATCACGACGACTACCTATGGTACTCGGTACGCGTTCGATAAAACTCCCTTCAGCAGTCTACAGCAGGAAGAACATGAGGTCGTCCAGGTCGACAGTTGAGCTTTCACGATGTTTAAGCCACGGGAATAGCTGGAATACCACCGATCGTTCGGCCGTCCCGTGTTGACACACCGATAAAGCTCGTATTACTATCGTTTTGTTGAGATGACTAAAAGCTGAAACCTTTTCTCATCTACTTCCGCTATTTTCACTTACTTCTCGCGTGTTTCTATCAACACGTCCAACGACTTCTCTTTACTGACTGATATCAACATATGCATATTTCGACACGGATTCGAGCGATCGACCTGTTCATATACTACCAGCGACCCGGTTTCCGTTCTGGCCAATGTTGTACAGGGTGAAGGCGTTTTCCTTACGTCTTCGCTGCGCTCCTAACAGGAGCCTGACGATGGCTATCATGTATGACCAGAAGATACCGAGAACGTTCTTTCACGATGCTTTCTTTGTCCACCATCTCGGGAAGCCAGGATTCTGACAAAAGACCATCTTCTACCGGGCAAGGTTCACGATCAAGATCTTGGCTTTGTTACTTCTTCACAACGGCATCTAAGATGTCATTTGCCCAACTGGGTGCCCACAACGTGCTTATAAATCAGAGTCAAGATGAACAATGTCAACTACCGCATGGTTATATACCCTCATTGGATCAGGTATCATTTCAGCGACGAACATAACGTTATTGGACAGCATCTCAATCATGAAGAATCAAGTCGCAACCGAGACCACATCAGTCTCATCGAGCCAGCAGAACCA